TAGGGCTAAAGGGAAATGAAATGGCTGATAAAAAAAAGCAAAATAATCTACAAACAGGAGTGAAATAGATATTAGAGTTGCAATTAGTAAAGCAGAAATTAAGAGCATAATCGGGAAGAAAATTAATTACAAATGGCAAAAAATGTGGGAAGAAGATATTAGAGGAAGATGGTTTTATAGAATACAAGGAAAGGCTGGAGAAATCAGAAGAAGTATTGGAAGAAACAGAATTCAGGAAAGGATAATAACTAGATTAATGTTGGGGCAAACAGGACTTACCTCAACATTACTTATAATGGGAAAACATGAAACAGGAAGATGTGATTTCTGTGGAAAAAGTGAGACAATAGAACATGTTATATATAGGAAATATTACAGACAAAGAATGGAATTGCTGAGTTGTCTTAAACAGGAAAAGGAACAATTAAACATTGTAAACATAAAAAAAAAGATTCTTTTGACATGAGTTATACATTTTTGTGGGTCAATGGCTTGGGAAGAAGAGTATAGAAAAGGAAATTACTATTAATTAATTAATTAATTTATTTTTTTATTTTTTTATTTATTAATTTATTGAGCTTGTTAGTCTTGGTCCACACTCCTTACTGGTTGGTGGCGGTAATGCGCCAAAATGTTGTTTGCCAACCGCCATTAAAAACAATTGAAGAAGAAGAAGATTGAGCCAATCAGAGAGCGGCGGGAGCTTTCAAACCTAAAACAGGAAGTAGCTTGAAGCAGCGCGCAGGCTGCCTCTCAGCGATAACTCTGTAGTTTATTCATGTGATTTTGACCTTAAAAATAAAACATTTATATCCAGTTTTCTTCCCTGGGAGCACCAGAAGGCGGTTATTAAACTGCTGGGAGACAAAGAGCCGGAACAACATGTCGGCCTCAGCTGCGGAGAGCCGCTGTGAGTTTAAACAGACGTTTTTATCGATTTATTTAAGATGTAAATTTATTAAAATAAGGCGCATGTCTATTTTGATATGTTTAATGATCCAGGTAGTTTTTTGGTGCTTATTAAGGCTCTCGGTAGATCTGCGGTAAGAACCGGATATGCGGTTAAACCAACTATAAACAGGCTTTTCTTTGGTTTGGTGGTATTATGGTTTTTATGGTGGTTCTTGCACTAAAAGTGTCACTTATTGACGTGAGTCTATGGAAAGTGCTTTATTTTCTCACATTTTAAGATTTTCAATGGTACTTTTCTTTCAGTAAATCAAAGTTCTACCTAGAGTCCCTCCAGCCATCAGATCAGATCTTTTAGAAGCTGTTTTGAAAAAAACATCAAACAATGATTTTCGTTTGTAAATACAACTTTGAAATCGAAATACAGAAACTTTATTTTGTGTCAAATGTTTGAGCAAAATTCAGTTTGCTACTTTTCAGGCTGCTTTTTAAATTTTATTTGACAAGG